AGAACTTAAACATTAATACACCTTATTCCAAAATGGCTGACGGCCGAGAGGGAATGGTGACGGCAACATGAAAACGAGGCATCCAGGGCCTCGAATCAAACCAAAATGGCGTCTCGTASGAGTAAAACTATACAACTTTTCGGTCCGTGCTTTTTATGCGAAGATGATGTTCCAGGGAGCAGTTTAAATGGAAAACCTCCTGACAGTTTCAAGAAAACTGATCTTCAATTTTGGCTGAGGTGTCGGGGTGATAATTCTTTGAAAAACTCAGCTACAAAAGCTGAACTTTGTAAACGGTAAGAACTACAATACCGCAGGGAATGTGTTTGAAATTAGCATAAATTCACATATAAATTCTCATCGTTTCTTTGCTTYATAGTGTAGAGGAMTACATTCGAGCTGGCCTTTCACATTTCATCGTTGATMCCGATGAAAATTTACTTTATACAGAGCGAAAACACCGTCGTATCGGAAGACAACAAACCGAAGTCGAGAACACCGAAAAGGACGCCGACGGCATCGAAACCGCTTTGTTACATCGAATTAAGTTTCCCGAGAGTGAATGGAGGACTTCACTCGAAAAAAGTCCAACATTTACAAGTGTAGAAGTGAACGAACATATTTCCAGATCTGCTAAGAGACATCCAGAGAGTACCCCAACACTTCCAACTGGTTTACAAAAAGCAAAGGCTTTTTTAGCAGATGAATACTTGCATGATATTCAAACAAACTGTGATCAGCGTTACTTCTATTATAAAGGAAAGTGCTACCATAGCTTTAAGACTCATGAACAGCCTCATGAATTAAAACTGGCACTGTGTATTGTGTCTGGAGACGTTAAGTATGCTTATTGTGGGCCTACCTGTGCTGCTGGACTTTCTGGGTTCTGTAATCACATCCTAGCTTTAATGCTAAAAGTGTGCAAGTATAGMCTGTATAATTGTACTGATGTGCGTGATCTAAAAGATGAAGAAGATGAAAACCCTAAAGCAGCATGCACTTCATCACTACAGAGCTGGCACAAATCTAGAGTTGATGRTGTCAGCTCACAACCAGTAATGGAAGTTGTTGTGAGCAACCCTTCCAACAACGTTGATAAAGAAAAGAAAAAAGGTGTTGTGTGTTTGCTCACTGAAGCAAGAAAGTCGAATGAAACCAAATCAGATGGGGAACGCTTAAAAAGACTTGTACAAGCTCTGGGCCAGCATGTCTCCCAACTTGGTTTAACCCAAGCTGTGGATATTGACAATCTGAACAATTTGACAATGATAGACACTAGGTTTGGGCAATGCCCTGTCGGGTCCTTTGGATCATATCAGTTAACAATTACTGAGTCAGATTTTACTGTAGTAGCATCTCTGGATGTTAATCAACACAAATCAAAGGAAGTACCACCACAGTTTCCTAGTTATCCCTCATTGCCTGTAGACGATCTAAATGGATYAYTTCACATTCCTGAAAACATTGAAWATAAACAAAGGCAACTATTAGAAAGTCTAAAAATCAATGTGATTGAAGCTAACAGACTTGAAGAAAAGACAAGAAAACAAGCACAATCAGAAGATTGGATGAAAGAAAGGAAATACAGAATCACCGCTTCAAACYTTGGGAGAGTTAAAACCCGGCAAAGAAACCATAGGAAGCTAGTTGAAGATTTATTAGCCCAAAAACAGTTTTCTACAGCTGCAACACAGCATGGCAAACAGTATGAGAACACAGCCCTAAGAAAGTATGAAAAACACTTAAGAAGAATGCAGAAACCTATTAAGGTTTTAGAAAGTGGGCTTTTTGTATCTCCAAAAATCCCTATAHTGGGTTGTACCCCAGATGCAAAAGTAATTGACTTAAGTGTCACTGATCACTATGGGATTTGTGAAGTCAAATGCCCATTCAGTAAAATKAATGTCACTCCACTTGAGGCAAGCCAAGACCGTGCATTCTTTATGGAACTTGTCAATGGAAAGCCTAGGCTGAAAAGAAACCATGCTTACTATKATCAAGTGCAGGGACAAATGGCCATAGCAGGAGTTYACTGGTGTGACTTTATCTGTTACACAAAGAAAGGATTGTCAATTGAAAGAATCATGTTTGACGAGAATCACTGGGACACTCTTTGTGACAGACTTTGTTTTTATTACATTGAACACTTTTTGCCCATAGCAGCCAATGTGTATGTTGGTTAGACTGACTTCAAACAGACGGTTAGTGTATTAGAATAATCAAAATTCATACATTTTTGCAACAAGTCTATATTAAGAATTTTGACAGTACTAGAGTACAAGCATTAAAAGAGTGCATAAATAAATAGTGGTTATTATTTAGCATTCCTTTAAATATTAAATTCTTATTGCACTCTCTTTTTGTTTATAATCTAGTTTAAGTAGAATTTAAAATCATTGTTCATGTGAAGGAAAATATGTTGTATAGCAACATAAATTTGAATTTCTGATTTCAAAATTTAAGCACAGAAAGGACTAGAAACAAAAATACCAATCAGTAAAATACATTTACTACTTGTGACTTTTAATTATTTCATTCTCAATGTCTTGTGTATCTTCAGAATTACACTGTAAATAAACATGGCTGAACAAAGAAGCTCTATTATTTTGCTTTCATCTGTCCAAATC